TCATAGTTAGAAAATCGCTGTCCACACAAAAACTCCTTCCAGTGTGGTGCAAAGTTGGTAACCCGTGGAGTAGGGTGGGTGAGTCACTATGTCTCATACAAATGGCGCGGGCAGATTCTGAGTAAGCTGAGCGGAATAGGCGGTCTACCATCCTACACGTTATTACCATCCCTCTTCTTTTGTCTTTGATTTTTTGTTTTAATTTCTTTAGGGTCTCACAATATGCAGTAACATTAATGGTGGTCCCTTTTGGCATGAAATCGACACACAAGATTCCGTTCCGGTCCCGAAAGACGGATACCATATTTTTTTTCTGTGAATGTTGAATTTGTTTGCGTCAGCGAATAGGTATGGCGCCATGTTATCCATTTGGTACCATTCTGATGATTCATTACCGGATTCGTAGGTTTCTACAATGTGAAGATGGATACTGACTGCCGATTCGTTGCGCAACGTGAGGAAACGCATGACAGCGAATCTCACATCTTCGGTACGTGGAGCTAACGGGCGTCGAACTGGATGACGTGATCATTGCGATGCTGTGGCATTTTGTAACGAACTGAGGCGCTCGATGTCGCCGTTAAGAAACCGTTTATATAATATGTGTGCCAAAATTGAAAAAATATTCCCGTGTCCTACACAGCCCTCGTATTCTTGCTTTCTGGATGTCCCTCGTACGCATTTACACACAATTTGTATTCATAGAGCAGATGTCCTAAATATAATGCTCCCTCTGCGAAGGCAACTGGCGGAAGAGTTCCGTCTTAAAGAATACCATTAGTACTGGGAACATCATTAAAGAAAAATGTGACGATTTGCAACAAAAGAAGACATACTTTACAGCCTTTCGTTTTTTTCAGACCCTCCCATTTCGGGCTTACGCAAAACACAGAAGTCAAGAGTTAATCCTGCGCATAAAGTTTCAATTTTGTTAATTCGTGACTCCAAGGAAATTGAAAGTAAACAGTCTGACCATTCAAGTAACAATAAATCCCTCGTTTTTGTGTAAAACTTAGAGTATTTATTTATAAACGTCAAATGAAATGAGTGTTGCATCCTAACATGTGAAATGTGTCCATTCTCCCTTTAATGGAGCTGCAAGATCTCCAATTGTCATTAATACACGAACAGAAATGTTTTGTTCATAGTTCAATTAATCACTTTGTGGATTGAACTACACTGTATTGTATATTTTGGAAGAATATTCAAGTCACATTCACGGAACTGCTATTTACTTAAACGTTTTAATGTATGTACAGTAATATTCACTAAACCCGTTGCAAATTACTAATTACTAAGCGAATAGTTGCGTTTCATAAATTACTTAATGTCTCCGATATGCCCTATTAAGCAGAAAAGTGAAAGGGAACATGTTTCTATCCCTTCAGACCAGGTAGTTTAACAACGGGGGTTCCTGAGCGATCTCCCATCCTTCGGCCCTCTGGACTCGTACTTCCTTTAACTCAACCTGATCGACCCAGCATAGGCCCTGGACGAGCGTAACGGTTACGGGCGCTGGCTACCGACGGTATTCCTATCATTAGTTTAGAATTCAACATACACTTATTTAAAATCAATAATATACTAAACACGTCGTTTATACAGTGCACAGTACAAATGGAGTTGATTTCTCACAGTTCACGCGGGCTCTATAAGCATTTGAATTGGTCAGATTTCTGAGAACGCGCGCTTAGTGGTTAGCGTGACGACATGAAACGTAGCTTTCACCGAATGGTTTTATCTACGAAACAAGTATAGTGTCACCGACAATTCTTTGTTCATTCAGTTAAGATTTTCAATTGTCTGTTTTACTAAACGATACTAACCGTGTTTAGTGAATCTTAACACTCGAATAATTGGATACACTATATAAGAGCTTACTAAATATATTTAGTGCATCAACATTTCTCTCAATGTAGTAAATCATCTTTAATTGCCCCTAGCGATGCGTACAATGCTATTTTTACATATTACATATGTGTGCCGTGTAATTGTTGTTTAAGTTGGTTTCCTCAAATATTTGTCTCGGTGTTACCTCCTTTGTTTTAACCAGCAGTGATTTTACTACGCGCTGCAGTATCGATTAATCCCAAACCTTCGTGAGAGCCGACTCCTTCGAACTCTCTTGCTGTTCTTCAATACGTCCGCGCTACGTATCCACAACTTCGGTGACTAAGAGAACAAATTATTCATCTGCAACCTAAACATTTCGAAGCCAAGGAGGGATCTTCCACCCTTTCCTGCAGGACTTACGAATTGATTATCCCGAGAATCAACTGTACGTATTTACGTAACAATTTGATTGTGCGCTGGCAGTTCTTTTTATTCATCATTGTGATGTTCAACTGCCGATAATAAATAAAACGCTTGTAAGCATTTTCCTAGGCGTGACAAGTGAATTCTTGGGTCAGCTTTCTTGTTAGATCGTTTTTTGACGGTTACAATACTGTGTGAAGTCTCTCGCGGGATCCGAGGGTGCTGCTCCGGCATTCTTCTAGAATACATCAGGGAAACAACATATTAGTCTTCGGTGTACCGATTGCGGCTGGCACCATTCATTCGCAGCTTAACACACGCAGTCAATTTTAGGCCGCAGGGGTCGGACTGGCAACCTCCCAATCACCGGCATACCCAATCGCATGGTGTTGCCTTTACCCTCGAGGCTGCCCGGGATGGTATTGAAGAGAACCGAAAGAACATTGCAAATCTCCCGTGCACCGTCACTGTCATTCTGTTCATCAGGCGACGCGCAATCTTTTGTCAGATTTAAATGCAGCTTCTCAAGGTCAGGAGGTGGAAGGAGATGGGGACACTGTCATCCAGTCGAGACTTTTGTTACTACTTAAATTCCTGGGTATTGAAGCTCCACATTGCATGACAGTGTCCCCCTCTCCTTCCACCTTCTGACCTTGAGGAGACACGGCAATTAAAATGGATAATGTGCCTGTGCGGCGCCACTCAGGCGTTTGCTGGGGGAGGGGGGCGCTGCTGGCAGCAGGAAGTAGCAGCAGCGCGCTCGGAATGCGCTCCCCCCCCCCTCCTCATCCCGCTCCGCCCTGCCCCGTCACGCCCAGGTCCTCCTCGCCCTGCTCTGTCACGCCCATGCCCTCCCCGCTCTGCTCTGTCCCGCCCGGGTCGGCTCGGCCCGGTGGAAAATGACGGGACGAAATTACTCTTGCATTGATTTTTACATATTACATATGTGTGTCGTGGAATTGTTTAAGTTGGTTTCCTCAATATTTGTCTCAAAGGTGTTTCCTCGATGCGCGATACTTGAGTCATTAAAACAAAACAAAATGGAATGCGAGCTGTTTTCTTACATTTTAAGATTTCCTTTACTACTCATTTTTCCCGTCATATTGGTGTGAGAAACTCGTCGTGGAACTACGTGAAGTTGATTCTGGACAAAAAAAGTTCTTCTAAAAATCACTTCCAGAGATTGACCCTTGGTTGTGAGAACGGAGACGTACACCCTTGTAAGAGCTAATTCTGTAAATATTTTGAGAGTTTTCCTTCACGAAAATAGATTTTCCAAACAAACTACCCCTCCTCGAATCCCTCAAAACGAACTTATACTACCGAATTGTGGACCGCGAAAACGACCAAATTTTACTTGCAGATGGCGTTCCATTAGCACCAAATAACAGTGTGATTTCGTGGAGATCCTATCGGTTTGTAATTTTTTTATTGCTTATAGGACCGCCGTATCCGAAAAATCTTTATGGCAATTTATAATTCAACCTTGATAAGTAATATGCAAAAAACAAATAAAGAAACAAAAAATATTCTATCTTGCCTAAAAAATACGTTTACGGCAAAACTTGTGCCGCCCAACATACCATTATTTGTTGCTAATGGAACATCATCTAGAGGTGAAATTGAGTAGTTTTCACGATATACTCGTTCTTCTTGCTTGTCGATGGGAACTCGTCTGTTGGCTTCATGGACCAGCGAGTGGCGCGGCTGTTCGGCGCCGATGCTATTCTCGGAGCGGGCCAAGTTGCGCCCTTCAACGCGCAAGGAGGCGAGGCGCGGGGCGGTGCGGGGGTGGGGGCGGGGCGCCGTGCCCTCCTTAAAGCCAACACTTCTTGCAAGTGCACTCTATTTATTATGATGCAATCCCCGCCAGAACATTTGTTTCTGTGCTGTACTTCCATGGCTTTTAGTCCCGTTAGTGTGGAGAATGTTTATATCACACTAGGTGCGATGTTATCTCCCGCTGCATGGTCAGATCCGGCGCCGACCTACACATCGGCATGCGAGAGTTTCCCGGGCTGTTCTCTCCCTTCAGCGGAGCGCCGCTTCTAGTCGAGCGTGCACTAAGCTACCGATATGTATGGCAATGTAGTGTAGTGCATGTATGTGTGTGTACGGGGAGATGATTGGGAAGGGACCGTGACCCATTGATTAAAGTACTCCTCCGACATTCTCCTGGTATCGACCGGAGAAATTACGCCAAACTAGCGATCACAACAGTCGGACGCTAGAATTCCTCTTATAGACTAGAGTTGCGACCACGATATTCATGTTTTCAAAGCATCGATGTATTTTTACATAATTTTTTGAAGCCGTTGGTTTTGTAACATCGATATTGTGTGTTTGATGTTTTTACATAGTTAATATTTTACAAATTTAAAAGTACCATCATACCATTCTATAATAATTTTCAGATATCAATAGAATATTTTTCAGACCAAAGTGACGAGTGAAAGAACCTGATATTTAATTATCCTGATATTTTTTTATTTTTCGTCGGATAAATCTCAATTAAAAATGAATATACAAATCACTTTCAAATAAAATCTCGCACGTGAACTTCAATGCTTACTTCACCAGTTGAAAACAACGAAGTTTAATAACATCGATGGTTTAGGGTCGATTTTTAATTAACATTGTATGTTTTAATTTTTTGCATGGATGTTTTCTTGTCGGTTTGGCACTACCCTGCTGCTGCCAGTCGTCCTGCCTGCGGCTAAGCCCCCTCTGTCGTTGTGTTGCAGGAGCTGGAGTTCCACGGCGTGATGCGCTTCTACTTCCAGGACTCGGGGCAGAAGGTGGCCACCAAGTGCATCCGCGTGGCGTCGGACGCGCCGTCGCAGGCCGTCATCGAGACGCTCATCGAGAAGTTCCGCCCCGACATGCGCATGCTGTAATCCGTGCCGAGTACGCGCTCTACGAGAATCACGAAAACGGCAGGTGAGCAATCCCCGCCCCCGGCCCCGGCCCGGACCCGCACACCCCGCCCCGGCCCCCGCCCAACACCCGGCCCCCCCCCCCACACCCCGGCCCCGGCCCCCGCCCCCGCCCCGGCCCTGCGCCGCCCCGCCCCTGCCCCGCCCCCACCCCGGCCCCGCCCCCCGCTCCCACCCGGCCGCGCCCCCGCCCACACCCTCCCCCGCCCCACACCACGGCCCCCCGCCCCGGCCGGCCCGGCCCGGCCCGGCCCGGCCCCGGCCTCGGCCTCGAAAATACGCCCTGCGATGCAGGGTCCCAGGGAAGTCTCTCTTCGTACTCCGCACCTTGCGGGTGGGAGTGCTGGCAATTGAAATTGGTAGCAAGAGCAGCAGTTTAAGGCAAAAGAAAACGTAAATTTTGTTCTCCCCACAATCATAACAGATCTTGACAGTGTTGTCCCCTTCACCAGCGATGTGGTTGCCACCAACATAAATGCAATTTTCAATACGAGCCTCTGACTCAGCTGTGTAGAGAGACTTTCCTGGGACACGTTAATAGTTTATGCATCTAGTTATACAGTAACTGTGTCAATGAATCATTATATTATGGCAAAATTTATAAATAATTCTAGTATGCATATAATTAACATGCATATTCCTGCTGGTGAATGCAACATTAATTTTATATTTAAATGTCAATAATTTATGTTGTAGCTTTACTGTTTTCTATATTGTGTATTGCATAATGTTAATATTTGTATTGATGTATGCTACTTTTGTATTGAAGTTTTATATAATAATTTTTGTCTTGTCCTACATAGTGGAAAAAAGAAATGCCCCTGAAAGAACTGCCACTTCTGTGAAGCATGTGCATTGGCGTGGTAGCAAGGGATTGATATCCAGAATTTATTTTACGAGAACTCATAGAAAGTTGTCAATTAGCAACCCCTATAATGGCATACACTAGGTTTCAGCTTGATAAGAAATAAGACCTACATCATCAACCGTAAAGTTTTGAAAAAATGATGTTAAAAAAATTAATTGTCTTTAGTCAGCACCATCTTTAATTTATATCATCATAACTTGTTTGATAATCATACAGATTCAAAAATAGATGGGATTTGTGGGGACAAAACATGGAAACCCTAATTTTAATATTTGAAACAATAATATTCTACTCTTTTTGGAGTTATTTAGCATCAAATGGTTAAAGTAAGATGCTGTTCGATTATATATTTGGAACAAGATGGGTGAAAGGAATTGGGATAGAATGAAAGGGTGAATAAAATATTGAACTTAATTATTGTAAAAACAATTTTCAGATATAGCAAGGAGTAACATCAGAACATGTTTAATGTGTAAATTTTACCGTAATACAATAAGTAGGTTCAATTGTCAAAATTAATCAGATTTTAACCTGAATCAACAAGATGGTAATAGTTTCAAGAAGGTATATTTCATTGTGCCTGGGAATAGTTTTCGATATTCAGCAACTACTTGCAAAACTTACTGCTTTTGGTCTTCATCTTTTGTTATGCTCATGTTGTTGCCTTGAATTAATTTGGCAACTTTTTCAGCTGTATTGTTTTCAACACTCAATCATTTCACTATCCCCTGTCAATTCAAAGAATCCATGTCTTCAATTAAAACATCCAGATGGAAATGTAAGAAATGAATTGACCTGATGGCTTTACTTTAATATTAGTGGTATTATGAAGTAATAGATTTCTTTGTCTAAAAAGTACCGAGATCTTTCATAACGATTTTGGCTTTAACTACCCTATTGTTTTGTTTGCTTTCTGCCTCAATCTTGTAGAGCTTACTTAGCTCATCATCATCACAATTGTATTGAAAAGAAAAGTTGTTGTGCAGCCATGTTCAATTTAATTTATTTGTCTCTTAGTATTCCCGCAAAAAAAGCAAAAGCAATTTTCTCTAAGTTCAAATAATAGATATTGCATACAGGATTAGAGATTATCAGCTTTTAAATGTATGTATCAATTTTTTCATAACCTTCTGTGGATCTTGCCCTAAAAGTATAATGCAATGGTCTGAGATGCCAGCGTGCTGACAGATTTCTTACCCCTGATTTGTATTTCACTCATCTCACAGGGGTTAATTTATCATGTCCATGACAATCCATTATATCTTCTGATAGCTTGTTACAGTCATATAGGTTGTTAGAGAGAAATAAATAAAAAAAGAAATAAGTAAAAAGGCAAGTGAATATCAGGAAAGTTTCAAAGTATTTATGTATTTTTGTGTATATGTTGGCTTCTCTGAATTTAGTTCATGTTTAGATTTTCACATTCAGGTTCACATTCATCATCAGTTTTGATGAGCAATGCTTAAGAATGAGAATTGTTTCCATAGTTTTACAATTCTACAAATTCAATGTAATTGATCAATTCTTGTCTACCTATACATGTGTCTACCTTACATTAATGATGTACTTGTTTTTGTTTTTCAGAAGAAAGAAGACTGGGAGCAGATGAAAACCCTCTCTTGGTGCAGCTCAATTGGCATATGGATGACAGAGAAGGACGTTTTCTATTAAGGAGAATTGATGATAAGACAAATGTAAGCAACATTAGATTTCTATGAATTTATTTTTCCTTTCGTAAATAGTATGCATGTTTTCTAACAAGTGGTCTTTTTCCAAAACTTGAAATTATTGGGTTACATTTTCTAATGCTTCTTTGCACTTTTCTTCAACAACAATGTTATTTCAAAATTATATCAATTGAAAGAACGTACATTAATACAAACTTGATGCAGGAATCATTCCTGTGCCCTCAGGTGCCAGCAGTAGGGTTCCAGGAAGGAGGTTCTAGCTTCCGAAGAAAGCTGTCAAAGAGAGAAAAGAAGCAGCTCAAGAAACAGGAGAAAATGAACAAATTGAAGTCAAATGCAGCTAATAATGAAAATGAAGGTGGTGTGGCAGAGAAACTTTACACAGGTATATTTCATTAACATCTTTAGTATAAACGGTGTGGGAAAGAATTCTCAAACTTAATGTAATAAACAAATTTACAGTAATTGAATCAATAAACTTTTACAATTCAAATGAAAGGATTTTACTGACCTAGATATTTAATAAAATTATCAATGTTTGTACAATTTCATATAACGTTCTGTGGTACTTTTTGTTTCTTCACACACAACAGAACTTTAATTATCAAAACAGGAATATGGCTTGGTTAAATATGCAGAAGATAGGATTGGTCGAAATCAAAAACAGACCTTGGAACAAAAACTAGACTTGAATTCATGAAATTGTGTTTAGCGAGATTAAGGTGCAGTAAACTATAAATACCGCAAAATTTACATTAAAAAAAGAAAGAAAGAAAAATATCTTTGACCTCTCAGATTATGTTGCTAATGTTAATAAATGTATTACTCCTGGTATACTACTGGAATTATCTAATAATTTCTTACATTTCTGAATAATCAGATAAGTTCAAATCATTTCATCTGATTGCTGAGTAATGAGTATATTTAAGGACACTCTGTAAATTTCATAAAGTCTAAATCTTAATCACCTAACAAGATTTGTCTGCTTTTATCTCTTAAAACAATGATTTGAGATCATTGATTTACATAATAGAAGTTTTGTGTTCCTTAATGCCAGAAAATTAGTTCAAATAATTGTTAGTGTTTGCACATCTTACTGAGCTGGAATTGGCAGCATTCTCAAACTGAAGCAGCGCATGCGTTAAAGATTGATAGTGGTGAGGATATAACGCCTCACCATGCAAAAACTCCCTAACCACAGCATTGCTGGACGTGTTGCTTTCCTGGGCTTTCATGAGTAATCAGCTTATTCTCAGAGGTGCATTAGGAATTTCGACAAAAGATATTTTTGAAGAACTCAGGTTCTACTTCAATTGAGCAAATGTTTTGCCTTCCTTCCATTTTTCCTACAATCTTTAAATCCATTACATCTGTAACTTTATCGATAAGAAGTGTTTCATTCAGTAGTGTAACATTCGGGCCCACAATGCAGGTAAAGGAGGGTCTATGTTTACGCTGAAGGTTTTACAATTGTAAGAAATATTAATTATTAAGTACTTTCTCTGATACTTTGCGATAGTTGATACAATGGAAGATAAAAAAGTTTACAGCAGAACGATTTTCCCCCCGCTTCGGTTGCTTTCGTAACACTGCTTGTAAATTAATATAATCTATTTGTAACATTCAATTCTTATCTAGTAGACTGATGAATAAGAATTGTTTAAAGAATATTTTTTATTAATGTACTAACACTATTCGGTTTGCTATACACTTTTCTTAAGGGGTCCCAGATAAAAAATTTGCAGGTGGGCCCGTACTCCTTTTGTTTTGCTACTTGTTGCACTGTCTGTTATAACAAGAAATTGTGTAACAAGTAACTTTCTTGTGAAAAAAATTGACTCGAATAATTTCATCTTCTAAGTGATTAAGGAAGTATTTTAACACAAAGGTGTTAGTTCACTTTGAGAATCACACAAATAATGACAAACAATTAATGAAATATGTTCTTGAGTATATCTGTTATCAAGAAAAGTCTCATCATATTTTTAAATTTCAACAAATAATGAAATCAATTCAATTACTTCAACAAGTAATGAAATTCCTAATTTTTGGTTCTGCAAATTAGCAAAAGATACTTTAATTTTTTAGAGTTGTGTACATAGGGCCCAAGGGACATTTTCAAAAGCATCCAAATGTGAATTAATTATTTTTTTCTTGAATGAAACAAAGTATGTTTATAAAACTGTGCACACCTGGGTTTTGTCACTCTTAAAATTTTCAAAAATTGCAAATGTTCAAATTTGTTTAGTGTCTTTACAATATTAAAAATATAAATTGGCAATTTTTCAACAGAAAAATTCAAGGTGTATCAATCTTGTTCATTACATGTAGTTAATTACTTGTTCTAACTCGTGTAATCAGACACTGATTTTTGGTTCTTGATACAAAAAAAAGCAATTAACAGAAAAATGTCTGTTCGTTCATGGTCAATGCTGATGCTGAATCATTCAGCTTATTTGCTCCAAAATTGGTATTCCCCAAGCGATGAGAATGAACTCTAGGTCCAAGCGGGTTATTTGATTTTTGGTGGTACTATACATGAAACCACAAGATTCTCAAAAATGGCTCCAAATTAATTAATTAAACTTTCTCTTTGGATTGTGTAAAAGATGCCTAGAAATGGAGGGGGTCTAATTGTCGTTGAAATCTCTGAGTTTGTGAAAATTTTAAATGTTCCAAATTTTTTTGGTGTCTTCCTACAATATTAAATTTTTTTTTCTTCAATGAAATCTATTGTTCAAAGACCTCTTGAAATAAGGACATAAAGAATTTTCTTGAAATAGAAGTAGTTTTTTTGTAATTTTCTATGAAATAAGGGCAATTTTTTAATCAATTATTTTCCCAAAAATTTCTTCAATTTTTTTCTTGTGGATCTATCAAAGAATGCTAAAAGACCTGCTGAGCTTATCCCATTTTCAACAAACCCTCTCTGCTTCTTCAAAAATTACAAAAAAATTATTATTGCAGAAGTACAATAATGATGATAGATCTTTTCTTGAATGATATTTGTTCTAAAAAATGAATCTTTGGAAAAGGTTCTATAGAAATGTTTGAAAAAAACTAGTTTTCATGTAATTTTTGCTTATATTTAATACATAAAAAGAAGAGAGAAAAAAAGAAACTAAAGGACTGCTCCAAATATTTCCTCCTGTACAGTAAAGGATTATGTGGGAAAAAGTGAGAGGAAGATAGGAGGACTCGGGTTTAATTTTTGTTGACCACTTTTAAATTTGCATATATTGCAATTAAAAATAAATTAGAAATAATGTGAAAAAGTATGCGCAGTTGATCTGCAAGAATTTGTTAATATTTGTATGAAGAATTTGCCCAATTTTTCATTAAAACTCCTGGATTTGTGAATTTTCCACATCTTCTTTCTATTTATAGCATCTGGAATGTTGTTATGCCAACTCAGGCATTTACTGAGTAATCATACCAAGAGAGATGGCTCAGGGCATCAACTAATGTTGTTGCAGTCTTATGGGAGGTCCTAGGTTTGAGTCTAAACGGTGGAAGAATTTTTGACACTAGCTTGTCAACTAGCTCAAATTCAATCACTGTCTGGAGGAGAATTCTAGTGGCCGTCTGCTCTGGTCGGTAGTTGTCCTTTGTTTCTCCGACCAGCACTCGGCAAATGCCGGGGCAGTACCCTAACAAATGGGCCACGAACCACGCGTGATCTTTCCTACCTCTTCTTCGTTTTATCCTCACCCCCACTACACTACTTACCCCACTACCTCATGACACACTTACACTAACATGCACTACACTATCACACATGTCAGGAGACTGGTTAGGAGCTTGGAGTATATCCTGGTCGGGGCAGTGCCCTGCTGGTGGGAAATACGTGGTTGGGGATAACCCCACTAGCCGACTGTAGGTCAGCACCAGATCTCGCCATGCTAGTAGGAGAAGACCACCTTCACCTCCTGAGCATAAATATGCACTACACTTGCAAGACTAAAAATCCTAGTAGTTGATGTGCCCTGAATCACCAACAATCAATCTGAGTAGTTATGCTCTAGCTTCCTAAACTAAATAATACAATTTCAAATCCCAGTCCAGGCAACAATTTGGGATGTTGGAAACACTTTTATGGGTTTAAGTAATATGACAATATGATATAACAGTTACAGATTACTCAAGAAAGAAAGTGCTGTTGTACAACTAGCTACAAGCTTGTTATCTTTCTCCTTCCTTGTTAAAATTTTGGAAGATATTTTAGAGCTTCTGATCACTATCATTTTTCAATTGTTTTTGTTTTCTCTTTTTAATTTAATTAATGAAATTAATTAAAAGTTATGATGAGAGACATTACATGACTACAAGACTGTGAAATATAAAGAATAATTAAGAGTTTCACAAACCATTTCTTTATAGTTGTTTACTAAACTTGCAAAGCTAATTTAAAAATGAATAAATTCAGAATAAAATCTGCAGCAAAAGAAATAATTACAAAAATACATTCAGTTGAGCTCTGCATTATCAATGTTCTGAAAGGAACCTTTTACACGAGTATTGTAGAACATCCTTTGTGTAGGATAATGGCAGAAATGGAGGTTCTACAGAAAATTAGAAACTCTAGATAATTGAACTATTTTTTTATTCACTGTAATGTTATTAGGTAAATTATATTTAAAGCTATTGGTTCTCCCACAGCAAATACTTTTTTGGATTATTGGGAACGGTTACATAAGATGATATTACACCTCCTTTCACTTCTGCCATACTCAAAACGTTATTACCAAAAATTATCCAAAATCTACTAACATTTTGACTGAGCTGTAACATTGAGGAGCAAACTACATTAAGAAAATAAAATATCTAGCCTCGGTGTTGAAGATGAAGAATTTCTTTGAAAAAATTTAAACTTTGACAATTTTCAAACTGTAACTTTTACTTGGAATTGTGTAATTTTACGAAGCATAATTTTTCTATTCAATCAAACATTTGGATCCCTTTTTTAGAAAATTTTGAAAATGTAAAGTACCCTCGAAAATTAAAATATCCATTTCAAATTTTGGGCTCAATTGCAGCCAGGTCAACAAGTGAATATCCATTTTAGAGAAAATCCTGTGATGCCTTAGGAGGTAAAATTGTCCACAGATGGATGGATAGACTCTTGTTTTTTAAAAACAACTTTTTTTAATCTCAAATTCACTTAATAAATTAATTAAAATTTCGGGAGTTTAGATTTTATTATTATTCATTACATTGAATTGATGCCTTATTGTACATAGCGAAGAGGCCTGCTCTTCCATCTAACCACAGAAATTTCACTATGCTCTTTTTACCAACTAGCTCCAAATATCCTAAAACGAAGCTTCAGTGTCTAATTAATAGTATTAATGTTTTGTTTTTTTTTATTATTGGAGATTGTCGATTAGACAGGTTTAGTGTGGAGTGTGAAAATCTTTAATAAAGGAATATTCACAATTTTCTGAACAAATGCAAAATTACACGGTGCAACATATTTGAACTTTGTGTCTTGATGTAAGATGAAAGTACATGCTCTTTGCTTAATCACATAGTGTGAAAATAAAATTACAAATGTTTCATCATATACCAATATTTCTGGAAAAAAGTACGCCATATATTCCACTTTTAAGAAACTTTTTGGAAAAGCCTCAATAACCATACAGGAGGAATCTGTAGTGTAATATTTAGCAGTTCATGTAACAAAAATTATTTGTATTACAAAAATTGTTTGTATTAATTATTTGTATAATTAATTGTTTGTGTTACAAAACATAAAATAAAAATATTAGGTGGAAAGAAATCCAAATAGGAATGAAGGGATTGTAATCTGAGGCATGTTGCATCCTCTAGACTTGTAACAGTCCAGCGTGATCTGTAAGTTTCCTGTAATTCCAATATCTTTTTTTTCCCCAAGACATTGCCGCTTATATCTTTCAATGCAAGCCATGCTGCCTTCTCAGTATCTGTCAGCAACTGTTCAAAGCTAATATCTTTCATCAAGTTGCGGATCTGAGGGGTAATGAAAATTTCTTCTTCAATTTTTCCTGTACTAATCGCAAGAAAATTAGATGGTAAAAATTGAAAATGAAAACCTTTGTCCATTGGTTTCACAAAATTCTTGATAAAGCCCAATTTCAGATGGAGAGAGTGGTAGTAACAACACACTATCTTTATCAACAAGGGATTTATACAACAAATTTTGTTTCACCAGGATTGAAAATTTCTCTCAAAGGTCACTCTTTGAATACATAATATTCTTTTCTTGCCCTACTTTCCACGTTGACACAAGAAAGAACAATATGTTGTGTAACCAGTCTCATTCCTAGATGGTCTCAAAACTTCGAGAACCATAGTTTTTTCATTTGTGATTCGAATATGTAGTATACTTCTGTAGTAGCCTTATGTTCTCATAGGTTTCCTTTAAATGAACGGAATGGGTCACTGGTATCAAAGGTTTCTAGTTTCCGTTATGTAAGAGAATGGTCTTGGGACTACTCTTTGAGGAATCTAGAAGTATGCGCAATTCTTCCCGATTGTGAATCATCTCACAATTTGTAAGCAGCCTGTTGATGTCATTGCAATATACCAAACTGTCATTGAGAAAAAAGAGGAAAGATCGAGCATTCATTCTTGGAATGTAATACTATTGGTTGGTTGTAATAGATTCTTTTTTTGAAGACAAGACCCAAGTAATTCTGCTTGCCTCCTTGAAAGGTGTAGATCTCTTATGAGATCGTTCAATTCAAGATGCACACACAATATTCTTCACGTTAGCGGACTTGCACATTTCAAGAATAAATGTGATCTCACTTTTGATTGACTGATGCAAGTATAATTTCCATTTACCTACCCCTAGTGCCTATTTCCCCCTCCCCTCTCAATTCCCACTAGGCAATTATATATCTAAACTAACAGAATGTGATAAGCACCACAACAACATAAATAACGCAGCAGTTCGCAGATAAAATTGTGTTCTGGAAGAAAGTTTAGATGATTGCAAAAAAGTGTGTTCATTGCTGTCATCAGGGTACTGAACTAAATAACAATCATATATTTTTGTTTTGCAGTAAATTTCATTCTTACATTGTGTTATTTAACATTCAATCATGCGGAAGGATTATTAATAAATTTATTTTAGAAGATAAGTTCAATTTGATGGAAAGAAATGAAGAGAGTTTGGTTACCAATGTTCAAATAACATAACATTTGTACTATTATGTAAAATAAATTGGAACTGGAATTTCTCCATCAATATCTTGATCATTGCCCAATGCCGTTGATCATTGTTAAGGGTAAATTGGTAGGGGACTGTGTTTTTTTTTATTTTACATGTACTTATGAAGCCTTTTATTTTTTTATTTTATTTTATTTTTTAAATTTTTTCTTACTTCTTTTTTTCCCTCTCCTCTCTAATGATTGACTAATAGTATAACACAGTAGTAACATCCATACTATAAGTTACTACAGTCACTTATCTTCAAGTTTCAGACTTTCAACAACTAGCTCTAAAAATTTGTAGATTTTAAGATATTTTCTGTTGTTTATTAGTTTAATGCAAAAGTCTATGCTATATTGTACTAATATTCTAAGGCATTTCATGTCTTTGTAGCAGCTTCTATTATTTTAATCTTAAATACTCCTTTTTTACCTGATATTTCACTGAAATTGATAATTTTTTGAAGCACATACTATGATATTACATGAAAAAATTAATAATTCAGTTAATAACTATTAAATTATTTCAGCTAGCAAGTAGATCAACACTTCAAGTAGTTGAAACTTATACTGCAGTAAAACCTGTCTCAGGTGGAACCTGGATAAGGCAGAAAACTGCCTGCCCTGAAAGAAAATCTCAGGACAGATATATTTTTGATGCAAGGTTCACTAGATAAGCCAGAAACCTGCCAAACATGGAAACCAAAAATAATTTCTAGTAGGATAGTTGTAAAAAATTCTGGATAAGATGGTAAACAAATATTTTTAAACATTGACTTGTAAGTGTGGCAACATCCTACCAAGAGACTGAGCTGTGCTCGTCCATTCGCTCATGGGTAAACAAGGATTTGTAATAGCAGTGACCTTCACAACTCCATGTGAAGAAAGGAGAGTCACGAAGAGCAATCCTTCCACAGTTCTTGTAATGTGTGCTTTGGGTTCAGTGATTTTGAACATTTTTATTGTTCAGTTCAACGAGTTGCTCTCAAGTGTTCATGATACCAGGCGGCAATTTAAAAATGCTCTTTGGGGAAAAATTAGTTTAATAGAACACACTTCTGTGATGGCTTTGATAAAGAAATTTGGGGGAATTCTAATGTATAACATCTTAAAAACAAAGACAATATCAAGAAGAAGTGGTTAAAATAAATATTTTATAGGTGGTTTTCAAAATATTCAAGAGAACCTAGACGAATGAATGAATCGGCATAGTTTTGCAATCCTAAATAAACTGCAAACCTGTACAAGATAGAAGAAAATGTCAGACCCAAATGATTCCACCTTAGACAGGTTTTACTGTATAATGAAAACTTGTATTCCTGGTTTACATCAGTTTTCGTTCAAGAAAATAAATCATTGTGCGAGGCGTTTATTGTAAAGTTTTACATTGTTATGTACTCCTCAATGAGAGTAATGTGTTGACCTTGTTTTTGTTTTCTGACCTTCCAATCTTGTCTTGTATAATTTGGTATGTCATTTACATTATAATATCAATTGTATATAAATGTTAAGTGCACACTATCCATATTCATTATTTTCCCCACTTGCATTAAATTATGTTTTAATATTTCTTGAAACCTGAAAATCAAGGATTTTAATCTTTAAAGTTCTAAGAGAATGAAATTAGATTAAAATTAAGCAATTAAATTCTCTTCTTTTGCAGAACTGCCAGAGACCAGCTTCACCCGTTCCATTTCAAATCCTGAAGCTGTAATGCGTCGTCGCCGCCAGCAGAAACTGGAACGCAAATTGCAGCAGTTCCGAAGCAAGGACGGAGGCCCAGACACAGGGGGCACTCTGAAGATCTATGGAGAGTCGTTATGTCGAGATGTCCCTTATAAAACGCTCCTGTTGTCTGTGCGTGATACTGCTGCACAAGTGGTTCGTGAAATGTTAGCAAAATATGGCATGGAAAGAGAAGCTGATCCACACAATTTCTGTCTGGTTCAGGTACAGTAGCTTCAATTCAATCACATAAAATGAGTGTGAAAGTGGACAAAGGAAGGAAGACTGCTGCATGAATAATCTAGAATATCAATGATACCACAAAATAATGATGATATGATATAATAATAACACAAAATGAGAATTAGTAATTTGTTGTGGAGACAAATCTTACACAATTCTTTTTGTTCAAATCCTTTTATTTTAGCAAGTGTGTGTTTGTGTGTGAAGTGAAAATAATAGTGTGTTGAAACCCATTTTGTGGAACTGAGAAATCTCTCTAACTCTCTCAGTTCTTGATTTCCAATATATAATTTAATCCCCCCCCCCAAAAAAAAACAACAACAACAAAAAAACAAAATAAGACTTACTTAATGATAATTGACATTTTCATGTCTTCATTTTTACTAGTTGAAAGCCTACTAATTTAAGCCTTACCAAACTTTACAAACCAAGTTTATTAACCTTAGAGTACACGTGCCTTTGTATTTCCATTACTGGGCACATGGTGCATTCTATTCGTTGTTATCGATGTTATCTTGCATTTTTGGTTTAAAAATAGAACAAATCATCTTAAAATAGGTTTTGATATATTCTATAGTAAACATTTTCACTGTCAAGGAGAAGAAAAATCATAACTTTTAAATAATTTCCAAAAGGTAATAATACAAAAATATACTGCCAAAATCAATCTCAAAATGAAATTTAACGTGCAATAATTTTGAGAAATTAATAATGTTCTTCTGGATAGATTAAAGTTTCTTTTTTAAACTTTGTACATATTTTACTTTATGTAAATGTTTATATACAAAATTAGAACATGCTCATCAAAATCTTTTGATTTTCCATTCATTCAAAATGTTTACAAATTACCCTTTTTGATGTTCTCCCTTCTACATGTTTGTCTGACCTAGAAGTGATATTCGTTAAAAGTAAGTTATGTGGCAACTTCCATGAAAAGTTAAATTATTGATTTTATTTTTGGTGTAAGTAAATAGTTTGGACTTTGCTCCTTACAAACATTATACTTTTTCTTCTTTAGAACCCGTAAGCGCCTTTAATTTTCGTTTGAATATCTTAATATGCTGAAGTGACGTTCTGTCTTTTTTGACACTCCGAACAAACATAGTCTCGTTCATAATTGGGCATGTTGTGGTTTATTTTGGATTGTTAAAAGAAGTTGTTTAGAAATTTGTAACTGTTATGTTTGCATTTAATTTGTTACCTGGACCAATTCTCATGTGGGAAAGTTTGTTTAGGAGTGTTATATTGCTGAAGTAGCCCCTGTAGAGATTCTTAAAATGAGCGTTTTTTGAAAATGTAATTATTTTGTTTATTGTACCCTTTTTCTGAAACTGTTCTTCATAATTTATAAAATGTACAGGGTACACTCATTACAATATTGGTAATACACCAACTTTTTTATCAAACCATATTGTACTATAACAAACAATATTAAAAAGCAAAGTTTGTGAAAAATTCCCCAAAAATTGAACCTAAAAGTAAAATTAGAAACAGAATACTGAATATTTTTTCAGCAACATCCAAAATGATATAGTTATAATAAATGCTGTGCTGTTCTACATATCAAAATTTTATAATTAGTCATTTTGTAGAAAAGGTCTGTATTTTGAACAGATAATACAATAAATGAATCACAAAAACACTGCAAAATTACCGGGTCGTCTTATAGGATAGGTATGGAAAGAAAATTTAAAGTTGTCACATTCATCATCTTATGTAAAAAGTTCCTTAAGTATGTCCTCATTTTCGTTATTGAGAAATTAATTGAATGGGACCCATTGTGTACTTCCTGGATTGATTGTCTCCTTATCATCTCATGGTATCCCATATTCAGTCTGCATATTTTTAAGATGTCAGAACTGCCTGGTGTGCTACAGTGCTGCCAGTTGCAATAAAATTAAATTTATATGCCATTGATTGATCACGGTTTCTCTTACAGAATGGATGTGTGCTAAAACTAGAAAACCTTGACAAAAATGTATTTCTTGTCTTATCAACTAAAATATATGCTACATCAACAATTGCAAATTGAATATTAGCTTTATACATGGTACTGTCTCCCCTTCTATAGACTCTAGTTTATACATATATAAGAACAATATTGGGGTTGTACCTAAAGATTTTATTTACTTTACTTACAGATTTTACTTAACTATTTGTGGTGGATTCCATCCACACAATGTAGGCTTTGAGAAAATGAAAAATTGAAGTCCTGCATCTATGAGCTGGACTTCATCAAAACTACACTGTGAACACAATCAGTTATATAATTGTTGAATTTTACAGGAATGCGAGATGAAAAATGTTGGCCGTCAAATGGAATTCACCAATATGCCTGTTTTAGAGTTCATTTAATTTTGTATTACAAAAAGGTCACTTACCACTTTCACAATTGTTTTGCAGAATTAAAAAAAAAAATCCAAGTTATAAAGTTATCATAGAGTGAAAGTTTTTCTGTTTAAACTTTTAAAATCACTTACTGGCATTGTGTATAAATAAATGCTCTATTTTTGGAAAATATTTTACTTTGGTGATTTTGTTACTTGGACTTCATCCCTTAAAGCAGTGTATGAAAAAAAGAAAAAATCTGTCGATTGTTTTATTAGATTATTATTCCAAGTACTGAATGTTTACTTACTTAAATAACATTACTTAACATGTTATCAGTCCATGGATATTTTATAGCTCTGAAACTACCCTAAAAATACATGAAAAATTGTACATTTGTACTTGTAGTAAATATATGCAAAAATATTACTGGCACCTTAAATACTTAAAAAATGAAGTTTTGATTTCATTGATTTGAAGAAAGAAAAGGAAAGAAAAAAAAAGAAAGAAAAGAAAAAAAAGGGGGGGTAATATTCACAGAGCCTTTATTTCTTATAAATTATACAAATATACAACTGTTTTTTATCGATTTTGACATGGAACGTTTTCGAATGCCAGCTTTTTTTTTTTTTCACATACTCTACAAAATTAATAGGTTTAGTGATGTATTTTTTGTAGTTTCATTCCATGTCAGTAACAAGTAGTTCAGTTATAATAAAATTACCTATTAAAATGAACAGATCATTTTATTTGCCCTGCATGAATGCTACACATGTCTGGGTGTCTGTAATACTCATTAAAGAATTAATGAATTAAGAATTCAAAGTGGCGTTGCAGACTTTCACAGCCAGAGTCTCATGAGTGCTCTTGGGTATCCTGCTGATGCCGCTCAAAGGCTGTGATGCCAATGTTTGGACCATCTCATTGTGGTCTTCCTTAGGGTTAGTCTGCATGCCAGGCCCCCCCCCCCCCCTTCTTTCTTGGACTTCCCATACTTTTCTTGCCCAATGGATTAGCCCCATTGCTTGAATACATTCTTTTGATTTTTCTTTAGGTATGAGGTTTTAGTACTTTGCATTATCTTGTTCAGTGTAGTGATTACCAAGAGACATGAAAGTAATAGAAAAGTGCCTTTTACAGTTTTGTTATGAAATTTTGGGAAATTATATTAATAATCCCCCCTGCCCCTCTCCCTGCCTTGTTGGTTACGATGCTTCTTTCACATTTTGTAATTTGTGGCCATTACATCTGAATTGTTTTACACATAACAGAAAATTATAGAGAGTACAATATTTAAACTGAATGTTTTGAAAATGTTTTATTCTGACATTACAATCAAATGATGTTTGGACTTCCTGTGCTTGGCAGGTGAATACTGCTGCACTTCCGGATACTGGGGAAAGCAAAGAGTACCATGGCGGAACCAACAACCGGGAATATATCTTGGACGATGACGAGTGCCCTCTTGCAATTCTTATGAACCATCCATCGTCCAGAGGTGAGTTTTTCTCACTAATTCATACTTTAAAACTTTGCTCCATTGCACTCTCTGAACGTGTTCAGAATCTGCTTAAGGAATGTAACTCAGTTTTTTTGGCGTTAGAGGCAATGTTTTAGAGCTATACACATTGAAAGTGTGAGTAAGCACAGTTAAGCAGGTGTACATTGTGGTTTGCATTTGCAACTGCTGATTCAGGCTTTCTTGTTTTGTTTCTTCAACAAAATTTTTAGATTTATGTAATGAGTATTTTTTATTACTTTTATTTTTAAAATGCAGTTAATAAAGTTCTTTCCTTTGAGAGATTTGTTAGGATTAGTTGGGAGTGAGAGACACACAAGTGATGTTTTCCTCATAAATAATAATATTAATAATAGTAACAAAGATGATGATTCCAAAAAGTTGATATTTGCAACTCAAAGTTTAATTTAAGTAAAACATGTAAATAATAATATTGGCTTGTTCATAGCATTTAAAAAATGTGGATGCAATTTTTAAAAATTTTATTTCTTTTGTTGGGAACAAATTTCTTGCTAAAAAAAACTCGGGATTGTTTTTTATTCAGGTAAATATGGTAATTATTTTCATTCTTTACATTCGTTAAATATAAAAAATAAACATTGGAATAAGCAATATAACACACACATTAAGATAATCTATTTGACTGGATTAGAAACCGAAGCTTGATTTGTTTTAACGTAGGCCACGTGACGTAGACAGTTGTTTGCATCTTCAATTGCAACAACAGTATAGAAATAAGTAATTGCAATATTTCTAATATTTCTCATTATCTTTGATAGTGCTACTACCATTATGTTTCTTAGGCTCATTTTAGATCACACTTGAACAACTTTTTTTTTTTTTTTTTTTTTGAGTTCCCTGCTTAGAATCAGCTGAATTGAAGAGTCTCATTAATCTCATAATCGAGTTTCCCCCTTCTTACAAGGGGTTAAAGAAGGAGGTAGTGATGCTTTACCTTCAAATTACTAGAAACTAAACTGCGCTTCAACCAGCATTTGATTTCAATTTGAGATTAAATCACAGCTCAAGCTTCTCTGGATGTGTTCACTTATTCCATTAAATATAAATGTGCAGTATGTCAGATGTTTATTTTTGAATTCAACATGTTAGGTATATTGGCTTTATAATGTACTTGCAGCTGAGTCAATAAGAATCAAACATTTTCCATGTTTATTCCATTTGGCCACTGCAAATTCAAAGACATGCTGAAGAGATAGGCAGTGGTATTTATAGCTTGCCCTGTATATTTAATCCATATTAAAGGGTTTTTTATATTTTGCAGTAGAGTAATGCTGTTTCATTGTGAATGGAGTATTGGCCATAACTTTGACTTTTCAAATCTTACAGATTTAAGTTACTACATATTTTGCCACCAAATTTTCAAAAGTAATTCTGTAGTTTTTTGCTACTTCAGAAATGTTGATTATTTACCAAGAACAAAAATGTCCATTTTTGAATGATTAGTTGAAATGTAATGAAAAAATAGTAAGTTCATAGGTACAAGATTCGAGAAAAATTCAAGAACAACATAAAGAACAAATTTTAACAATCAGTTCAAACAATTCAGGGAGAAATTTTTCAACCCTTCAATTCTTTTTCATAGGGACAATTTTTTTTATAAGGAAAAGTGCCAAAAGTATGGTAACACATTTATATTTATTTTCCTTAAGCTTCTTTATATAACTCATGGATGGCAAAATATGATTTTTTTTTTCCCACTAAAACTACATATTATATTCAGAATACCTGGAACTGCCTGTACATATAAATTGAAAGTTCGTCCCTATAAAGTAATTGACTACCAAGACATTCGGGAGGTATCCTTGCAGGTTAAACTATTTAAACTTTTTTTATTAGTATATAGTCTTTAAAGTCTTTTGGAGGTTATGTTCATCCCTTTGAGTCTTAATTTAATTTTGTTATCTTTGTGACAATGTTAATTTCATTGTACAAAGAATACTAGACAAAAGAAATGAAACAATCTTTTCGACATTTATGTTGTTTTTTTTGGATTTTGAGGAAGTATAAGATATGATGAATAGGACAACTAGTAAAGTTGGACTTATGACAGCTTTCATTATCCAGTTACTTCAAGCAAGGAATTTAATCCTTTTTTTATTACAAAGGTGTAGTCATTTTTAATAAAACACATCCCTACGAGTCGTTTGTAAAATTGAGAGATTTAAAAGTCAGCTATCTTCACCTTCTAAAGAAGATGGACACAACTGTATACATTTTCTAATAAAACATTTGATTATGCATGGTTTTCATTAGCTAGATCTCGAAGTTAACTATTACTTTGAAAAGAAACAGTGAACCTATTGATACAATTGAGAAATGTGTTTCAGCCATTAAATAATTTTGGAATTTGTGAACTTGCCAAAAACTAATAAAATCTTCTTTACCTTCTCTCTTGAAAACCGAACTGCTGAAGCTTCAGGTACAGAAACTGTTGATCTTTCGGCTACTTTTAAGTACATAATAGCAAAATAATACTCAACAAATGTTCAGATTGATGAAATATTTAATCTCTAATTTTGTAGTATCACTAATATCATTCTTAACTAATTTTAAAAATTAAATAACTGATTTAATATGGAACCTGATATGCTTGGAAACATTTTGAAATTTAATGCTAATAACTTAGCTTTATCACTTCATTTTTTATTTAATAAATCTATTTAGTCTGCTTATTTCGTTTTGTTGTGAAAGAAAGCTTTATAAAACCTATTTTAAAATCAGGGGATCATAGCAATGTTAATCAGTGTAGGCAACTTCTGACCTAGAAGACTCTCATGTATTTTGCAATTTTGCTGTGGATACTTAAGTATATTAAACCATGCCTCAATAACAGGGTGACATGGATTACCCCCCCCTTTTTTTTTTCCTATCATTTTTAATGTTTTTTTTGGCTGATTTTAATATCATTTTAATGGTACTTGCTTCAAGTAATATTTACAAGATACAACAATCTTCTCCACAGAATTCCTGACAATCTATTCAATTTTTTCAGTCAGAAGTTGAAATGTAAACCATCATGAGTATTAATCCAAGGCTCATTTGACGACTGTCTGCACCATTGTTGGTTCAACCGATTCTGGACTAACTAAACATAGAGATTTTCTGGTAAAGAACAATGGAAACCAAGAGTTCACGAGCTGATTTCACGTGAACGAATAGAATAAGTCTTGATTATATCAGTAACGTATCCAACTGCTTGAGTTGTTCATCTGAACTGGTTTTGATCACATTTTTTCCTTTTTTTTAAGGGCAGTTTAAAAACGTTTTAAGAGCACTATATTGATCATTTTTAGAGATGTTTTAGGTCATCAAAATCCGGCCCCCTAGTAAAAATTAATTTTGTTGTGCTCAAAATATTCAAGTGTAAAGTTTACTCTGTCATGGAAATGCAAATCTTTTCTTGTATAATTATTTTTTTTACAATAAACTACTAGAAGTTGTCAAAATGGTTAGAGATTTTGGAATGTTTATGGATCAAAATAGGCCTGTTTGAGATGATGATGGATACATCAATAAAGCACTGAATATGCTACGATTCATAAAAAGTCAATTTCTTAAATTCAATTTCTCAGAAATAATGACTGCACTACAAATGCTTTATTTTTTTGAATGTACTGTTCTGCTACATGGTCCACTAATGCTTTTGAGCTAAAAAAGTGGAGATAGATCAGCATGAGAAATTTTGAATTTTTAATGTAACAATTTATTTCTATTAAATTCAATGAAGGTAATGTTGAATCGTATGTTATTTATCCTATGAAGATTAATGTTTCTTCACACAATTTTTTCTCATAGGCTAACAAAGCAAAATTACATATGACTAATAAAATTGCAAATATAATTAAAATAAAATTTCTTCAATCATCAAGAACATTTATAACTTTTGTATGAATTTATTAGTTGTTTTATAAAAAATAATAATACACTGATATGCACCTGCATGAACTTTTGAGTCAAAATTATAATTGAAGTTCTTAAATTCCCAGTTTGTTCATTCTTATACTTCAATTAAACTTTAGGATTACATCAGTTACACTCCCATTGTCATTGAATGGAATGTATGAAAGAGGGATCAATAATACACAGAAGCAAAAGGGGAAGCCTTATTGATACAGCAACCTGGACCCATTGGTTCGATTTGCTTTTGAATATTCCATGCGTTTCACAATTATTAGAAAAAAAAATTGTTACATTCTTGCGAATTGTCGTTTTTATATCAATAATAATAATTTGAAATTTTAAAAATTGATTTAAAGCGACCATTATGCAGCTGGAGCAGCCACATTTCTTCAGTCTGCTTTAATGTTGTTTACCTGCTTTATCGGCGGGGAAGATCCTGCATTGAAAGCCGCTCACCGAGACGATGAGTTTGGAGAGCCTCGTATTGACGCACCGGAAAACTCGGGGTAGATTTAAATTTGTGTTTCTTACGATGAAACATAGATGGCGGGGCGGTCACGCCGATCTGTCCGCGGCAGTCGGGTGAAGCGCGTATGGGAGTGGAAAACAACTGTGACCCGGGAAACCGGTCGACGTGGGTATAATAGCAGGCGGAGCGGCGGACGTTATCAATCTGCCGCTTGGTGATGGCCGTTGTCAAAAGTCATATTTGTTGCCGAACGCTCCTCGCCCGGGATGGCCGTTGCCGATAAACGGAATCGCATCTGCGCTCGCCCCGCCCTGCCCCGTCCCGCGCCCTACGCTCGGCGGGTTTTGAATCGGCTTCCCCCCGTTATTTATCGCCTCCCATTGTCAGAGGCGGCGGCGAGGCGCCATTTATCTTTGTCTCCCCTTGATTTCATAAACGGGCGATAGTAACTAATAGGTTGTGCGACCACTCGAGTGCTGCCCTGAATATCGAGGAGCGATAGTGCACCTGAGGGCACCTAACGTGCCCTTTTTGCGCAGAAGGCAGAGGGTAGATTAGGAAAATATTGCCATTTTTAAAGTTTGCAAAA